TATATATATATATATATATATATATATATATATATATATATATATATATATATATATATATATATATATATATATATATATATATATATAAGTAAATCACCAACCCTTCTCCGATCAAGTTCAATAACATATTAATATAAATAAATCACAAACTAAACTTTTTTATTACAACATTTATTCTAAACCAACGTTTCGGGGCATGCCCCTTCATGAAGGGGCATCCTTGATGAAGGGGCATGCCCCGAAACGTTGGTTTAGAATAAATGTTGTAATAAAAAAGTTTAGTTTGTGATTTATTTATATATATATATATATATATATATATATATATATATATATATATATATATATATATATATATATATATAAGTATATATATATATATATATATATATATATATATATATATATATATATATATATATATATATATATATATATATATATATATATATATATATATATATATATATATATAGAGTGCCACATTTTGTGGTACGAAACTATTTAGTAATAAAGATGCCTAGTGGATTTTGTTGATTGTTGTACCTTAATTTAAATATGCTCTGGTTTTCCATTGAGCACTTTACCAAAAGGTTTTATAACCAACGAAACCAAATCTTATATATATATATATATATATATATATATATATATATATATATATATATATATATATATATATATATATATATATATATATAATTTTTATATTTATATGTAAAAAGTAGTATTCATCTTCCCACAGGTTCGAAAGGCATTTGGTCGCAGAATGGCCTATGACGTTAACCATGCCACTTCCACGACATAGCGCAGGTAATTAACGCAGGCTTTACCATATTGTAGAACGCCTCAATTCCAGATGGCCACTCGTTGACATGTTCGTTTGAAGGCACTTAGCGAAAACCCGGTGCGAACTGGTCACAATCACATCACTCGCTATCCGATAATCTGCATGGTAGTGATTTTGATCCCCTCCGAACTATAATTATGATGCATTAGTTATGACATTGTGTCAAAATTATATACATATACATTCAACTATCCGCTAACAGCGCAACGTTTCTTTTTTGTTTTGGAAACGTTTGAATAGGTAGTGACTATTTTATCAAATACTGTTCTTATAGGCAAAGGAATCCAAAATATGGACTATGGGCTATTGGTGCGTCAAATACCATAAAATGGATGTTCAATCATTCTAAGTTAGCTAATCGTCGTAATTAAGTTTAACTATATTTAATAATTCTAATATGGGAATACATGGAGCATTAACTATGTCTAATATCTCAAACCTGAAAATGAAGATTTAAAATTAGATTTCAAGTTCGAACAGTTTAATGACCCTTCCTTCCAGATTACTTATTTGCTAATTTCCTCATAAGTTTCAGCTAATCTCTCTTAATATTAATCCACTATAAACCTCTAAATTCGATGCACTATAGCTGCATGACAAATGCAGTGTTAGGATTAGCGTAATCACATTGGGTATATGTCTGTAAATATTTTAATTTGATTAAATATAACTACTGAATGCAACCTATCAAGGTTTCTGTTATGTTGGTGGTCTATTCTTGCAATAATTGTAAACATTTTAGTAGAAATAAGAATAAATTGTAAATTATGCATTTAAAGAATCAAAGTTAAAATGTAAATTCAAAATATAAAAAATATGCTGTATACAGCCCATAATCACTCATTAATAAAATTGAGGATCTGGAAGTTGTCATTAACCAAAACGACGTGGATATAGTTTGTATTACAGAAACTTGGCTGACCAATAATATTTCCAACTCAGTAGTCGACATTAGTGATTACACGCTAGTACGGAAAGATCGAAGCGCTGATAAACGTGGTGGTGTGTTTGTACGTACATCAAATCATCAATTAATTTCACAACAATTGACGAATTTAATGATTCCCCATTTGAATCTCTTTGGGTATACCTCCGTCCGAACAGACTCCTACGAGGCTTTTCTTGCCTAATTATCGGTATTATATACCACCCACCACAAGACGATGATGCTACTTTTACGGATCACCTAATTTCATCTTTGGATGCTGCTTTGAACAAATATCCTAATGCTGGAATTATGTTGGTTGGCGATTTTAATCGATTAAATGATCGATATATTAGTAACCATTTTAACCTGCGACAAACAGTTAAAAATCCAACACGCGGTGCTGCAATCCTCGACCTAATTTTCACCAACCTGTTTCACCATTATAACACTCCTCAACTTCTACCCGGAATCGGCTTAAGTGACCATAATAACTCCTTACATATTCGTCCTTTAAGGAGAACTCACAAAACGAAAGTAGAATCAATTTTTAGAAGGAATGTAAAGCCAAGCATGAAGTCCTGTTTTGGAAGATGGTTAGCATCTACTGATTGGTCATTCCTTGAAACACCATCAAACTGTACGGAAAAACTCGCTGCTTTCCAATCTTTGCTAAATTTTGCTATTGAAACTTTCTTCCCACTCCGATAAATCAAACAACACCCAACAGACAGGCCTTGGATTACTCCTGAACTGAAGAGTCTAATCCAGCAACGACAACAAGCAATGTCCAAAGACCCTCCTGTTTACAAAAGATTGATAAATAAAGTTAATTTAATTAACAGGCTAAATAACAGTCTTAGGAATTCCTTTTTTGCAAATAAGATAAAAAACTGTGACAACGTAGTTTCCTGGTGGAAATACATTATTATTATTATTATTATTAATGTTAAACACTCCCAGAAGGGTTTTTCAGTGTTCAATACAGAAGTTATAAAAAGTAATTACTTAATTAAATTATATTCTAAAAACTATATAATATACTATTAACACCAAAATATATAATATCAAGCTAGTTATATTTAAGGTAAAATACTTATTAATACTATTTAATTTAAAATTTAGTCAGTAAAAGATGTAATTCAGTTCTATTCATCGAGAAATTGTTGAACCAAATGAACTTCGTAGCCCGCTTTTAAAACGTTCCAAATTAAGATTATGGTCTTTTAGCCATTCTGGCAAACTGTTCCATAAACAAGAAGCTCGGTAGCGAAAAGAACGTTGTCCGGTCGCTGTTCTATATAAAGGTATTTCCAATAATTCGCAAGATCTTGTGTTCAAATTGTGTAATTGTGATCTTGTTTGGAACATACGACATAAATATGATGGGGCCATACCATTAACACATTTATAAGCCATTACTGTATCTCGGAATCGCAACATATAATTGACTGGTAACCAGTTAAGCTGTTTTAAAGATGGAGTGATATGGTCGAATTTTTTTGTGCCCGTGACAATACGTGCTGCAAAATTCTGAACTTTTTGCAATTTTGCAATGTTTTTCTTCGATGAATTAGACCATATGGTTGAACAGTAATAGAGTTTACTAAAAACCAACGCGTTTATTAAAAGAATTAACGTCTTCATATCAAAAAGGTGCCTTGCTCTATTAATTTGACACAGGCTACCGACACAAGAGGAAACCAGTTTTGTGACGTGTTCATCGTACGTCAAACCACTATCCAGTGTCACGCCTAGATCAGTGGCTGAGGTCACAGGAAACAGTTTTTTCCCCATTAGTAAAATATGGAAATCTGCCGGTATCTGTTTCAACATATAACGAGTTGCGAACACAAGTAATTTCGTCTTATTGGGATTAATAAGCAGACTATTTAGAGAACACCAAGAAGCGACTCTCCGTAGATCTTCGTTAAGCTTAGCAGCCGCTGAATTCACTTCATTGACGGAAAATGACAAAAGTAGCTTCGAGTCGTCGACGTAAGACTTCAAATTACCATT